TGAAGAATTGAGGGAGTTGAGTTGTGCTTAAATAGGCCAGTGGAGAAGAAGAAGACACGGGTTTGCAGCTTCCGTGATTGAGCGACGATTTGGAATCGGCGTAATTGAACAGGGCGCCGTTTGGTGTGTAGTCCCTGATTGGGACTAATTTTGGTCCCAGTTGGAGTACACTTTTTGTTCCAACTTTCTCCAAAATGAAATCCGATTGAACCGTTGGGATCAGACAGTCAAACTCTACATAATGATATGATTTTCATTATTTATTAACAAACTTTAGAATTTACTTATTTTTGGGTCCTTCTCAGTAATTAATTAATTATAAATTAATTAAATCTGATAGGCCTATTTTTGGGGCGTTACACCATCTGCCTGAATGATCAACTAACCATGATATCGAAGCTTGTCTACTTTAGGCACTAGGTGAAAACCGATCTTTACTTCCACTCATGATTTTATCTCTCGGCCGCTGAGATCATTCCATGTATTCAGTCTTGGTGCTACTCAGTCTGAAATCTTTGGGTTCTAGAGAAAGGTGCCAAAGTTCCAACTTGTCATTTAGTCCATCGCGAGTATCTTGGATAAGCACAATATCATTGGTAAAAATCATGCACCATGCACCTCTAGTGTAACCCGACCTCTACGAAGAAAGGCTCAGAATCACCTCCGATGGACTTCAAAAAAATAAACCCAAAGAGAAACCCATGATTTTTTTCCCTTTAAGAAAAAAGAGAAAAAATAAATAAATAAAGAAATCATAAAATGAATAGAAAATGAGAAATGAGCTTTAGTGTAAAAAAGAGAACGTTTCTTTGATTTTTATATCATGAAAATGAACCAATATCAATCTTTTGGACAAAAATGAAAATGTTTCATTTGAGTCAAATGGAGTATACATTAATTCTCTTTATTTAATTGATTTTTTATTGCAAACACAATAAATTTTGATTTTTTAAAACATTATAAAAGTAATTTTAAAAAAGAAATTAAAAAAATTATGAAAAAATAGTAGAAAAAAGACAAACAATAAAAAAAGAGAGATGGAGCGTTGCTGTCCATTTCCAAAACCATATGAGGCATTAGAATTATTTACTTAATATTTGAAGAATATTTTGGTCTAGAGGGGCATTGACGTAACAATATTGGAACCATGGGGGTAACGATGAATATTTACTAAGCTATAGGGGTATTGGTGCAATAAACTCAATTCGAATTATATGGTACATGGTTTAACTTCCTCTAGGCAAATTGTTCCATGAACCTAAGGTCCATGCTAATTATATGGAAGCGGACCTTTTAGAAAACACAAAATATTCACATGGAGGAAAAATATGATAAAATCCACATTTTAAAGAAGAACCATGAGACGTGTACTCCTTTCTCAAATACTCGCAACTAAAGATATTAGGCAAAAATAATTGGATGGATCACGGATGAACAATTCACCCTACAATTCCATTAATTCGTTCTTCAGCCGTAGTTGGATAATAAATTATTCTCTTGCATTTATTATCATAAGGTTTGAATTATTATCCTTATTTGGAGTATTATTGGACGTACTAAAAAAGGAAAGTAAAAAAAAAAAAAGGTACTCCGTATGTAGGGTAGATTTCATGAAAATCCAAGAAAATGAAGTGGTGAAGCAACAGTGAGTTGTTGTACTTGTTGTTCAGCTAGAGAAAGAAAGGTTTGTGATAAAGAAACGTACACAAGCACACAGCCACAGGTCATCCATACATTTCTACGAAGTAATCAGTGTGATTTGAAACCACCCAAAACCTAGCTTTTGCCCTCAGCTCAGCTCAGCTCCTTCACACATTAATTATATGCCGAGTTCTTATTAATTAGCTTCTTTCGTTAATGATTTTGTATACACATAGCTTTTCTTTAATTAATAATGTTCCTCTTCACCGATTCAAACCCACTCATTCATCACATCCCGGCACCCCCCTCCGCCACCTTCCACGGCGGAAACGCCCATATCCTCCTCCCCGAGTTCCCGGACCACCACCGACAAGTTTCTTCATATGAAACCGACATTATAATAAAAAACAATGTCCTTACTCGGGGTGCCAATAAGGGTGGAGGCCGTTTAAAACCGTTGAGGACTCACCCGATGGTGTTTCTGAGCAGGACGGTGAGGAAGAAGAAGGTGGCGATTAAAAACGACCGGCACACTAAAATAATGACCGCCCAAGGGTTGAGGGACCGGAGGGTTCGGCTCTCAATAAGCGTCGCCCGTAAGTTCTTTGATCTCCAAGACACTCTGGGGTTCGACAAGCCGAGCAAAACCCTCAATTGGCTCTTCGCCAAGTCCAGGCTCGCCATCGAAGAGCTCGTCCGTGCCAAGGACGAGAACGCTGGCGAGCCTCTGGAAATGGGGAAGAGGGCAAAACCCTATCCCTTCAAAGATGAAAGCGGCGGCGTTGGGATTGGAATTGATGAGTGTAGCGGGGACAATGTCGCGAGAGAGTCGAGGGCAAAGGCGCGGGCGAGAGCTAGGGCAAGAACCATCATCAAGAAAATGTGCACTAAGGAGGCAATAATAATGAGTGAGGAGAAGAAGAAGATGTTACCACTCCCAAGTAGTGCTGATCCGCCGGCTGAGGTTCCCAAACTTCCCTTAATAATCAAATCTCTCCTTCACAATAAGAGTGAAGTAGTGCCATCTAAGAAAGAAGAATCTGGGGTTGGGTCAATGTGGGATATACCCCAACATCTTCGGATGCCGATTAATAAAGATTTGGGGTCACTCAACAACAACAACAACCCTGGAAATTGGAACTATGCTGGGAGCACTACTAGTGTATTGTCGTCCCAAGGTAACATATCTATCTATATGCTCTCTCCGAAATAAACTTTGCAATTATTGGATTTGAGTACATTGTCCATGTTCATGTTTACTTATGTTTCGATTCCTTTTTCACCAAATTTAAGAATAAATAAATAAATTATAAACATACATTTTGCAATTGGATTCAGACATATAGGTTAATAAATAAATAAATAAATAAAATTTGGAATTTTGTTTAGTTTCGGAGAGTAGAGTATGTTTTCTATTCTCAAATTGTAGGTGATGAATGAATACTCAAGTAATATAAATATTCTCCGTATTTAAGTTCTCATTTTCTCTTTTCTGAATGTCCGAATTAAAAGTCTTATTATCTTAAAAAAAAAATTAATGTGGTTTATATTATTTCTCTCTATTTTGCACAAAATATATGCACACAATAATAATTTTTTAATGTTCCTGAAAAGGAAAAAATTAAAGAAGATATGAACAATTCTTTCTACAAAAGAAATAAGATTTTATTTTGGAACGTCCATAAAAAGAAAATGATCGAGAACTTAAATCTTAAATATGGAATCAAACGTGTATATAATATTATATTCAAACGATGTTTTATAATATTGCGGATTATATTTTTTTTACTACTCCATCCCTCTTGCTAGATTCTATAATTATTATTTTTTAGAAAGACTAAATATTTTTGTCGAACTGTAATAATCTTTCACCACTAATGATTTTTTAAAATATTTAAATATTTAAATTATAGTTAATTATATTTAATTAATTTTAATTTATGGTTAAATAGTGTTATAGTTTGTCAAACCAAATAATTTGTGGACAAAAAAAATAATTTGTGGACAAAAAAAATAATTTGTGGACAAATAGTGTTATTATTTGACAACAAATTAAAAATATTTATTGCCCTATTTTCAATTAATTTTTACCAATTAAGTTTTTTCCAAAACTATTGTCCTATAATTTAAATTAATTTAATTGGAAAAACAAATAAAAAATAATTAATTTATGGTCAAATAGTGTCCATGAATTATTTGTTTTGTCAAACTATAACACTATTTGACCACAAATTAAAAATAATTATAAAATTAACTACTACCTCCGTCCCAAAAAGATTTACACATTTTGACTAAAGTTGAAATCAAGGGATGGATAATTAATTTTGACTATTTGACCACAAATTAAAAATAATGTAAGTAGTTAAATATTTGACCACAAATTAAATATTTTTTATTTATAATTATTTTTTGTTTGTGGTAAAAGAGTATCACAGTTGAATAATTTAACTATAATGTTAATTGATTTAATTGGCGAAACAGATAGTGTTACGGTTCGATGAAATAAATAAATTTTTTATTTATTAATATTTTTAATTCTTGGTCAACTAGTGTTATAGTTTGACAAAACAAATCAAATAGGAAAACAAATTTCAGGAGGGATGAAGTAAAGTCATGTCCCATTATACTTTGCTGACCATTTAGTGTAATTTTTAGATATTTAAACTTTAATTTTATAATTCTTTTGTCCCAAAGTATTTGTAATCTTTTGACTTTTTTCAATCAAAATTTGCTAATTTTAAAAACAAGTTAAATAAAAGTAATATTAAATTTTGATATAAATATAGTTTTGTTAGATTTATTTCATAAAATACTACCGTTATTTTAAAAATATTCTTTTATCTAATTAATATAGAAGATATATATTTTACTTAAATATTAGTCAAAAGTTAAAAATAATTGACTGTAAAAAGTTAAAAACAAATACTCAACAGAGGTAATAACAAAGGATTAAGCTGTGTGTACCCCAACATTTATATCTCAATTTGTACCCCGCAAGTTTGCACCAACATTTTGTGTTGATGTAAAACTAATTTTTGTTAACGCACCAACATTTTTTGTCCATGTAAATTTTTGTTAACGCACCAACACTTGTGTCGGTGTAAACCATCAAAATGTTTATGCATAACTCTGGTGTACAAATGGTGTACATATTTTGGTGTAAGTGTAGCATGGTCCAATAACAAAATAGTCAAATGGGTAAAACATTGCAATAGAGACGGAGTACACTCAAATGTGAATTTTCAAAAATGATAAGATTCAAAAATGTGTAATTTTGGTGTTGTTTCATTTTCTACTCGTATTCCTTACTCACATAATAAAAAAATGTAAAATGCTTTTTAAAATAAGATCTGACGAAAATATTTTTTTGTTAAACAATCAATGAAAATACACAAGTAAATGAAATTATTGAATGTGAGTAGAGTACTAACTCAATTACGTTTGGGAGATCGAGAAGAGGGAGACACATATTTATTACCATTAGTAAAGATGTTATAATTATATAATTGTAAAATATAAAGAGTATATGCTCGATCGTATACTCCGCATAAGTTATACTCCCTCCGTCCCGGAGTATTCGTCCAGTTTTGACTTTTGAAACTGTTCATCTAAGCAATTTGACTCATCAAATTCTCTCAATGTGTAAGTCTAAATATAGTCATGTGTGATCTTGTTTGATTTGTCTTAACATATATATTATTAATATATAATTTCTATAATTTTTTAATATACAAATTACAAGATAAAATGGATTAAAGAAGTGTATTGGATGGTGTTTAAAAATGAAAGTGGACAAATACTCTGGGACGGAGGTGGTAATTTTTTTCATGGTAATAAAATTATGTATTTTTAGCTAAATTTAATATTTTTCTAATAAATATAATCTTTCATTTTATGAGTTACTCCCATTATCTCTTTCTGCTTGTCTTATCCATATTCACAGAGTTAAATTAGTTATTTTTTCTTTACATGTTTTTGTCTATCATTTTTGTTAAAAATTATAGTCATGAAATCTCCTATTTCATAATATATTTTATGTTATTTTGATATCTACATTTTTAAGTTTTTATTCGACACCATATTTAAATAAATTTTAAAAAATGCTTTAGTTAAACATTATAAACTGAAATGAGATAAAAATGTAACAAGAAAGTACTTTTTTACGTACGTAATGCTCGACATGTCGCGTGTTGATAAAACATCTCAGAGATACGACTCCACGGCCTAAGATTTCGTGGTTCGCCACTACAGCCAAATGAAAAAGTCATTAGCCAAACAATGATTTTTGTTGTTTGATTAGTCAAAAATGCCAAAATCAGTCAATGATGTCAAAAGAACAACGAACTCTTTTGGTAGTGTTTTAGTCTAATACTCTAATGTGTCAAATACGCCCTATTTACGTAAAACCCTATTCTTTTAGTCATATGTGCCTAATTTTCTTCCTTCAGATATTGAAAGAGTGCTTCTATGGTGTACATTGGGTGCTTATTATTTTTGTGGATCTTCTTACATAAAAACTTTTTTTTTCTTTTGATTTTTTATTTTTAAAAAAATCCTCATCTAGGTAGTAAGAAATTGCGTACTTGAATCATATATAGGTCCACCATGGAATTTACCTTGAAAGAAGTACACCTTGAGAGCATCAACAATGGCAAGGCGAAAATGGAATGCCACACGGTGACATGGAACATTTTAATCAATCAAAAATAGTCCAGTCAGCGTGTGGCAAGTAAATGGAGTATTTTTTTTATCACTTTTTTACATTTTTTATGTTTTTTAAACATAAAAAAATAGATCTATTATTTATTTTATTAAAAAATTATTCTACTTTCTTGTACATTATTTTCATAAAAAATTTAAAAAAAAATTATTTTTTAAAAAAGAAAAAAAGTAGTATGAAGTGTCACACTCATGCTTCACCAAACAAGACATTTTGGCCTTGCCATGCCATGATATGAGTGAAAGAAGCTGATGTGGCAGTGCAAGGCATCCATCTTCCTTGCCATTGCACATGCTCTGAAAATGTTGTGTTGACCTAGCTACTTTATGTTGCTGGTATTTTACTATCTCCTCCAAATATTATCTTACTATTTAGTGACTCAAACTTTATTAATTTTAGGGCCTATTTTGTAGTCGATCTGGTAAAATAATAGTCTTGTCACTTCTAGTTTTATAGATCTTATAATTCAATTTTTAGGCATGTAATTTTTATTATTTTAGTTTCACACCATTTTTCATATAAAATGATTTAAAAGTAACTTTAATCAATCATCATTACGTACTACGGGAGATAAATTTTAGACAGGTGTAAAAAAATTAAATTTTTTTGTCGTACCAAAATAGATTTTCCATTTAATTTTTTAAGGGAAGTATTCAACGGTTCACTTTTTTTCTCTTCATTATAATAAAAATATACAGTACTATTTCTTAAAAAGTATACTCTCTCCATCCCAAAAAATTCATTTCATGTTTTGAGTGTTCGGAAACTTAAGATAGAAATACTTTTGTGTTAACTTTTAAATCAGTACTCCCCCCATCCTAAAATGATCTTTCCAATTTGGTTTACGTGGTAATTATTTTCAATTTAATTTACTTGATTTAATCTCACCGATTTAACATTTATTTTCATAACAAATCTACTACTCCTCCACTCCTAAATAAATACTCCGTGTGAAGTAATTACTCTGTCCCATAAAGATGTTCTCATTTGGACTCGTAAGAAATTGGGAGAAAGACTAGAGCAAGGGGAAAACATTGAAAATATATCAAAATAGGACTTCCATGCTTTTATTTCTGAAATAGGAGCTAAAATGTATTTATATTACCAAACATGATCATGTACATTACTAAAAAGTATAGTAATGTATATATGTGCACTGCCACATTATCATAACATTATCACAGTGCAAACTCATATTTCGAGAATAAAAACATAGAATTCTTATTTTGGTACTTTTTCTATATTTTAGTTTTATTTAGGGTGATTTTTATAAAAAAAATTTAAAGTAAGAATATTTTTGTGATGACTTTCTAAAAATATCTTTGATATGATGGATAAAAGTAGAATTTGATAGATAGATTATTTATGAAAAGATATGATGTGATAGCTAGATTAAAAGTTAATAGGGGCAAAAGTGATTTTTAATAGAAAACAAAAAAGGAGTTTGTGGGACAAGAAAAAATAAAGAAATGAGGAGTTCTTGAGACGGAGGGAGTATGTGTTCACCATTTATGTTTTCCTACCAAAATCATTATATAGTATTATTTTTTTTAAAAAAAAAATTTATTCCAGAAGTATTTTAAATCCAAATCATTGGAATGTTGGTCTAAATTAATTAAAACTACATCGAAAGAAGTAGAATTAAACTTATTTTAAAGTTTAAACACTTTGATCATAATTATGGAAAAAATATACGGAGTATTCGATTATAAGAAAAATTTAGTAAAATTAAACTTATTTTAAAGTATAATTTTGATATTTCAAATTTTTATAAAATTTAATTAATGATTAAAGTGTTTATATGTATTTGAATTATTTAACATATATAGTAACTACATCTATCAAAGCTAATTGATGTGCATTTTAATTTGCAGTGCATACAAAATCTTGGGAGTGGTCTGACCACAGCTACCAATGCTAATTGATGTGGATTATATATACAGCTAAGACGCATGGCTATTAATTATAGCTAGCTGGCTAGCTATATGGAGTACATGCTGCTAGCTGCTTCGTTCTTGAATATTATTGTATTGGTGCATGCATAAAGGCTATAATATAACGAATCTTTACTTACAACCTACTGAATTGAATATTACCCTTCAATGAATTGAATAATTTTCTGTGTTGCGTTTGTGCACCAGCTATTATTTAATTCAGTGGCTTCTAGCGAGCTAGGGTTTTTTATATTTTGTGTGTGTGCCTAGCCTTTTATAGGTTTGATCTGCAAATAAAAAATTATGATGCGATGCACTTCTTTTTTCTTCTACCCCCCTTTGTTACTTGAATTTTTATGAACGGAATTTAAATAAAGACAAGCAGATCAAGTGAGTGAATGAACTGTCTGTCATACTTCAGCTGAAATTTGTATTCATCCCCAGCGTATGTAATTCTTATGGAGCATGCGACATATATCCCAAAATTTGTATCCCATTTGTCCACTAAAGGTATGCATTAACATTTTGATGGTTCACACTGACACAAAATGTTGGTGTGTTAACAAAAATTTACACAGATACAAAGTGTTGATGCGTTAACAAAAATAAGCAGTACACCAACACAAAATGTTAGTGTATCCCTGTGGTGTACAAAATGGGATACAATTTCATGGGGTACAAATATTTTACTTTGCATTACACCAACGCAAAGTATTTTATTTGTGCAGTTATAAATGTTGAAAAGTTATACTCCCTCAAGTAGTTCTCTTATTGACTTTTTGAGAAATTAAGAATGATATATTTATGCTTTGACTTTTCCATTTTACCCCCAACCCTAAAATAAAGTGGAGAAGCTCAAATAATTGAATAGTGTAAAGTAGTAGTATAGGATTAAAAAATAAATTGAAGTTCACCTCCATCAATTCGGCAGTTGAGAACAATAAACAAAACAGCCCATACCCTCTCACGACAGTGCGGCAAAGCAATAAACTATGCCTAAATGACATTTCAATTTTTTGTTTTTTTGGGGAAGTTCAAACTTCCCTCCACCTACAGCCCTCCAAAACTAAAATGAGAATTACATCATTTTACACACTTCTATTTAAAGAATGCATTGAATGTGTGCATTTTATCCTTCTTCTCTTCTTAACCTTCTTCATGGCCCCTCATGCGAACTCTTCTTTGGATTCTTCCAGTTCCTTTTCCTTTTCATCAGATGAGTCATCCTCTTTTGACAATCTTCCTCATGTGATTGAAGTCCCTTTTGCTAACCTTTTCACTCCTGCAACAGAAACAAAAAATAGCAACAAAGGTGGTGTACTAAATCAAAAAAAGAAAAAGGGAGGTAGATGTGTTACTACAACAGTCAAAGAATGGCAAACTTCAGCGAGGTGTCATTAAGAAAGTAGCTGGGGAATTCGGTTTTTCTGCTAAAACAGTTAGAAAAATTTGGGCAATAGCTACAACTCAACTTGAGGGTGGTCTACCCATTGATGTTGAATGCAAGTGGAAAGGAAAGTGTGGCAGAAAAAGGGTCCCAGTTGACATGGAAAAAATGGCAGCCATGCATTTTAATAGGAGAAAGAACATGCGTGCACTTACCCATGCTATGGATGTGTTAAAATCCACTATCCATAGATGGCTTAAGTGTAAAGAGATCAGGATGCATTCAAGTGCCATCAAGCCACTACTATCAAAAAAAGGTGTGCTTAAAGGACTGAAATTCTATTTGGATCATGTATCTGCCCCCTAAATCCCCATGAGCCCAACATTTCATGACTTTTATGATCACATTCATATTGATGAGAAATAGTTTGACATAGTAAAAGAAACATCAACATTCTAAAACAAAAAATTATGTTTTTAGCTGTTGCTGGTAGGCCTAAATATGGGGAGGATGGGGAACTTGTATGGGATGGGAAAATAAGCATTTTTCCATCCACTTATATGAAGCTTCTGCTCAAAAGTCTAGTAAGAACAGACTTGCAGGGACTATGGAAGTAAAGCCCATCCCAATCATAAATAGAGATGTGATGAAGGGGATGTTGCTTACTAAGTTACTTCCAGCAACTAAAGAAAAATGGCCAGGATCGATAAAGGAATATAATATCACAACAAGCTAATTCTAATAAGCCTCATGTGGATGGCAATGACCCTGAAATTATAGAAGCTGCTCAAGAAGGTAATTGGAACATTCAACTAAAATTCCAGCCACCCAACAGTCCAGACCTAAACATACTTGATCTTGGATTCTTTAGGTCCACTGACTCACTGCAAGACCAAACAGCTGCTAGGTCATTGACAGAGTTGCTTCATGCTGTTACATTCAACTTTTGAAAAACTATCACCTGGCAAACTCAATAAAGTGTTTTTGACTTTTCAAGGGGTGATGGGTGAGGTTCTAATTAACAATGGAGGGAACCAATTCAAAATCTCTCACATGGGAAAAACTAGGTTGGCCAGAAAAGGGACACTACAAGAAATATGATTTTTTTTGGCTAACTTTTAGTAGCAAAATAAATATTTGCCACTATATATAAAAAGTCTTTTAATATTTGTGGCAATTTAAAATTTGCCACAAAATAGTATACCATACTTATTGTAGCAAATTTATAAAATTGCTACTATACCTAAAATATTAAGGAGGGAAATTAATCAAATTATTAATGAACTAATTTTTAATGAAAACATAATCCCGCCTAACCCAAAATTAGCCCAAAACTATTCCCTCAATCCATTATTGCCGCTACACCTCTCTCTCAAGTCTCCCACCTTTGCTGTTCGTCGCCTCTTTCCTCTACCGGCTGAAACTCCCAGACATCTTTCGCGAGGACATGTATTCTCTCAAATGGTTCCTTTTTTGTTTTTTCGAAAGGTCAGCGTGAATTTGTTCTGCAATCGCATCTCTTGGTTTGATTTTCCTTCGATTTTTCTGCAATTGCATCTCTTCGTTTGATTTTTCTTCGATTTTTCTTCAATCGCTTCCTCTGCAATCACTTAAGCTGGAATCAAGATGTACTACTGCAATCCCGCCCCTCAAGCTTCAGCCTAGGTGATCAAATTTCACTGTCTCTGCTTCATTTGTTTTTCAATTTTAGATTGTTTAAGTTTGGTCCTCACCTGTTGTTATTTTTATCCTTAAAATCAAATTACTTCGCAGTCCTGAAATTGCTGTAAGTTCTCGAATTTCATGTATATTAACACACCCTTTCTCTAGTTTCCAGTTTGATTTTGATTTCCAGTTTACACTCCAGATCTCTAAATCAAATTTTCATTTCTTACGATTATTTCTTGTTGGATTATGATGAATTCTAGAAGGAACTAGAAATTGTAGGCATGAGAGAGTAACATGAAAATTAAGGGGGGTTTCTAATTCAGTGGCTCATCTCAATATGGGATTCCAATCCAGCCTAGCAGTTTTAGAAATGCTACATGAACCAAGAAGGGAAACAAGTTCTGTGTGTTTCTTCCTTTGTGTTCTTCCATCCATTCCAAGAGTTCTTCCACTTAAGCTAATAGCCATTGACATTTTTTTATGCAAAAAAAAGGACTACTACTCTGCACAGAAACCACTATTCTTCTCTGTGCAGATTTCTATCTGCAATTACTAATTCGTGTGTACTATTAAGCACAAGAGCCATCTACAGACTACTACTGCTTTTGATTAATTATTGGTCACTTTCACAGTTAAACTACTATTTTAAAATGTTAAGGTGAACTCTGGTTTTGAAGTTTTTATTTGGATGTTCACAAATTTGGATGCTGTGATTATGAAAATCACGGTAAGAGGCATGCTACGTATATGGCTATTTACAAATTTAAATGATATGTGCATAGCTTTTAATTATAAATTTTTAGATGCTTGATAGAGTTGCATTTCATAAATTTTACATATTAAATCAGAGATTAGATCCGTGATGTAAGCTTTTATAACCACTAATTCGTTAACCCTTGAAATTGATTTCCACTGCTTTTAGCAGAATTAACTTGTTTCCACTATATGAGTAAGCCGTATGAATTTCAGCTTAAGAGTCTCTTAACACTAGATTCAAACATCTTTCATGCCCCCTTTGACTGTATTTCATTGTTGTAAGTTCACATCTTCCTAAAAGAGCAGTATAATAATAAAATAATACGGAGATAATAATGCAGAGTATAATAATTAACATAAGTTTCAAAGGAAGAAAGAGACAGAACTTATTTCCCTTCTTGGTTCATGTAGCTGACATTTTTTGGATTTTTTCTGTACATTTTTTGGATTTTTACATTCTAAATTGTGTTTGATGATGCTTCCACATGTGTGAAATCCAAGGAAACACATGGATTAGTTCTGAATGATGTTTGGTTTTGTTCATTATCCTTTACGTGCAGTTGTAAGTGTCCTAAAATTCTAAGTAGGCACTTACAGTAAATTCTGAGTATTAGGCTCTTTCTTGTGGGGTATGAGCTTTTGTGATATTCTGAGTTCTTGTGGGGTATGAGCTTTACAGCAAATTCTTGTGATATTCTGGGTGGGCATTTAGAGTACATTCTGAGTTTTGTGATATTTGATAGCCTTTTATTTAAACAAAGTTGTTGTAATTCACTACGCTTGATTGTGGGGTATGAGCTTCATAATATTCCATGCTTATGGGTCAACTATATAGGCTCTTTCTTGTACAATTCTTGAGAAGACATGCCTATTACCAGCCCCATGTGCATGATTTGGTTCTTTTTACATATCAGGGCAAAGGCATCGGTTGTTTTGTACCTTTAGCATCGCTTTTGTACCGATGCAAATACGAGGGATGCAATTGGTCAAATTCAATTGCATCGCCTTTAGAAACAACCGATGTCTTTGCTATTTTATTAGTTAAAAAAATAGCAAAGGCATCGGTTGCTTCTAAACAACCGATGCCTTTGCTATTTTATTAATTTTAAAAAAATAGTAAAGGCATCGGTTCTTCTAAACAACCGATGCCTTTGCTATTTTATTAATTTAAAAAAATAGCAAAGGCATCAGTTGTTTCTAAACAACCAATGCATTTGCTATTTTATTAATTTAAAAAAATAGCAAAGGCATCGGTTGTTTCTAAACAACCAATGCCTTAGCTATTTTATTAATTTAAAAAAATACGAGTTGTAAGCATGGATTTCCTTCATGTATAAGAACAGACATGTTGCAACGTCTCACCTTTAATTTGTATCTTTATGTATGTACCATTAGGAACAAACATGTGATTAAAAAAAGAAAATTCAATTCTATAAAGATCAAAAAAATCAATAAAAGTTTATATCTTACCTCATGTTAATATATTCACTCATTGCCAAACTCAAAAAAGATTATTACCTAAAAGTCTAAAACATTATGGGAAAGAACATGAAAACAAAACTTCTCATTTCCTACTTGGCAACAAAAGCCAGTACAAATTCTATAAAAGTTGAACCTCCCAAAAGATGGAACACAGAATAATTACACAAATCACCTTAACGAATATTGACGACACAAAGGCAAGTGAGTCCCCTCCTAAATCATTTGGTAGTTCGCCATGGAGCTTTAGACAGCAATTGGCTCACTATCTAGGCTAGATGTGTCAACTTTAACCTGTCATTTGAAGGAATTCACACAGGGTTATAAGAAAGGCTTTCTACCGCTATGCTTTTCTTGAATTTCTGCCACGAAATAGTGCTAAATAATTTCATTGAAACTAATTTTCATGTTATTGACCCAAATTAGTTGGGATTAAGCTGATGAAGTTATTATGAGCAGAAAAAAAGGTGCTGATGGTGTGTAAGGTGGCCTAGAGTATGCCAGTGTTGAGACCCATCCACCTTGCCAAAACAAAAGTGAAAGGTGGCCTAGAGTGTGCCAGGTCCCTTGATGTTTAGAAGGAACACAAACCTGTATGCGGGTCCCCAAAGCTATGGCATTGGAAGCTTCATGAATGAGGTCTGCAGCATGCAATACAGTGATATGAACTCCAAGGATCTCACCATTGTCTGGTCTATAGATCAACTGCAGAACACAAGATATAAAGACTTTTCAATGTTACGACATGATCCAAAAACAAGGTGAAAAATAAGACGATTGCAGCAGCATAGGTTTATAACCAATCTGACTAACAGAAAACCATTGTCTCACCTTGGCAAGTCCTTCCCCTTTATTCTCAGCTAGAGCTTTTGTGTTAGCTTTAAAGCTAGTCTTTGCCACTCTTATTTCAAATCCTTCCTTCTCAGCCCTTTCCTTTGCTTGAGGCTTAAAATGTGTTGGGACTTCATGCTCAATTGAAGAATAACTTACTAAGGTGCAATAGCATTTTCTCAGAAGAAAATTTGTTCACACAGTTTTACTTGCAAATGAACTCATAGCCCACTACTTCCTTTAGATGCTGGCAATTTCCCTTTCGGTTTTAAATATTACTGAGACACTTATATTTTTTTATGTAAACATGGTTAATGCCTGATAAGTCGGGTTTGGGTTAGTTCTTTTTATTCTTTTTTAGACATTTTTAAGATTTTTAGAGTTTAATTTTTAGTTGTTTAGCATAGTTTTAATTTAATTTCTATTTTTTACAATCTTTTAATTTTCTTTCAAAAAATAGTAGTTTTTTAATTATTTTTTTTACATTCTATTATTTTTATTTTCCCTAACCCAAAATTATTAGATATCTTATTTTTTGGAGAAAAGTGTAGCAAAAGGCCAAAACGAAGTTCAAGTTTAAAAAGAAGAGATTGAATTTGGGCCGAAGCCCAAACCCAACAAGCAAGCCCAAACTCTCCCCCTCCCTCCTTAGTTTCACGCAAGAATGAAAAGATATGTCAGCGGCTCCTTCTTTTTCGACTTCCTCTTCGAACGCAAGAACGGATATACACGCTCCAACGTCTCTCCTTCTTCGCTCCTCACTCAATGCAGCAATGGAAAGAAATTCTCAACGGGAAGAAAGGCTCGGACTATAAATTGGAGCAGCGCAAGACACAAGAAAGGGGGGAACAATGAAGGGGAATTCACACAGAAAAAAATTCAGAGAGCAGCGGCTTGGCCGCTGCTATGGCGGCGACCGGCGAGTCTGGCTGGTGACGACAGCGGCGGTGGTCAGCAGCTGCTTGAGCAACTAGTGGTGATTCCTTCAAGCTCCAATACTTCAATTTGTTCATCTTCTTCAACAATTGGTAACCCTATATTTGTCAATTTCTTTTTCTTCTCCAATTTCTTTGTAAAAGTTGTTTTTCAATTCTAATTTACACTTTTTTACCTTATTGTGTGAATTTCATAAAATTCTAAAAATGGTTGGTGTTCTTTTATGGGTTTTTTAATGATTATATTAAATCCCTTATGAATGAGAATTGATTCAAACTAGTTTTTCTTCAAATATTGAGCAAATTGTTGTTGAATTGGTTGAATTACATAATTCAATTTCATAAGTAGGTTGGTATGTGGAATTCGGTTTTTGTTGAAGCTATTTTAGCTCCATAAGGTAGTCAAATGATTTCCGAATTCATATGTGATTCTTTTTTGTGCTTTGTGTTTGTTGATTTTAAGGATTTTGGACTTCTTAGCCCCATAAGTTGATTCATTCTCCTTAGAATTCGTTATTGAGTGATTGTTATTTTATCATATGTTTGTTTGTTATTTTCATTAAATTAAGGTTGTTTAAGCTAAAAAACAATTCTTGATTTAGTGAAAATATGTTGTTTTCATCTATGTGAATAGAAAAAACGTCATTGGTTTGAGGAGTTCATGGAAATCTGTGAAATGTGCTCATCATTAGAAGAAAAAGTTTGTTAAAATGCATAAGGTATTGGCGGTTTGTGAATAGATTATGTATGAGAGTTGAATGCATAATAGATTCTCTCTTTTATAAATTTTTTCTATAGTGGAAGTATGTTATCATGCTTGAATAGAGAGTTGGGGTTCTAAGGTATATTTCAAAACGGGCCTTTGAATTGCATGACTCCGGGCCGTGTGGAGAGTTGACAATCCTCCATATTGTGGTTAAGGAAATGAATCGACTCGGCCTTTGATTGATTTTTTCTATTCTTAAGTGCGTAAGTTACGTAATATATTGTCTACGTGCCTATTATACGTGTAATGTTTGATTTGTGTTTGTTCTCTTTTTCATTTTGTTTCGGGTTCTTGGTGGTGTTTTTTTGGGTTTACTTTAGTTGGAGAAGTTGAATATCTTTAGAGCTTGTTTTCCCCCATTTTTATTAAAAAAACCAAAAAAATAAGAAAATATAAAAAACCAAAAAAATATTTACTTTTCATTCAACCCCCCCCCTTTGTGTACTAAGTTTATCTATAAGTGTTTGTCTATAAGTTATAAATATAAGTTTTTTATATCTTATTTACTTTTATATATTTTAGTATTTGTTATGAGTTTATAAGTTATATTATAAGTTCTTTGTTTATATAAGTTATATTTATATGTTTTTATATTTATTTAATTATAAGTTTTATAAGTGTTTTAATATGTGTAGTAGTTAGTTTGTTTTATTTCGTGACAACGTGTTTGCATACTAAATTGGTTTTAAAAAGTACAAACTTTCTCCGTGGGATCGACCCTTACTTGCCCTAGCTATAGTTTTTATTTGATTATATTGGGGGTTAGCTAAGAATATTTTATAAATTTTTAATTTGTTTTGGACCGCACGACGGGTCTTCAACAATGCCTCTTATCTCTACATCCACGACATACATACAATGATACAAGAGGCCAAATGGGCGGCACTGTGGCAGTTCACAATGACCTCAAAAATGAAATGACACCATTTACGAAACAAAATGTCAAGCCATTGATAAAATAAAGGGAAAACCAACAAACAATAGGGAAAAAGACTACAAACAGTATGATTGTATGGTATCTAGGTTTCAAATGTTTGAAATTTGAAATCATACCTCTGTCAGTCCAACCATACTGATTTCAGGATGAGTGAAGCATGCTGCTGGAATGCTTAGATGGTTCAGCACATGGTCCCTCCCACTAACTTGCTCAACAACTAATAAAATGCCAGATTCAGTTTCACTACACATGCACTTGCAATTGAAGCTAGCATATGAAATAGTTTAGGCAGAAGATAATGTATTAACACTGAGTATTCTTATGCCAAAATGATAACAATAATTAATTCTTAACCGAAAAAGGATTAAGTGGCAAACATGAGAACACAAAAAAAGCAATTATTATTTCTAAGAACCTTTAAATTAAAAGAAAAGAAATTCATTGCAATTATAGTTCAGTTTAAAACCTAGCCAATGCCAATCCTATTTCATGATATAGTAACATCACAAACACGTAGGCTTAAAAATACTCATTTGTGAAACATGGGTCCAAATGCACATTACCAAAAAAACATGGAATCAATATATTAACACATCAACAAACCAAAAATAAAAAAATCCTTACCAGCTTGATATAATTTATGAGATATCAAAAAATTAATAAACTATCAAGAATCTTAAGTGCTCCAAAATTTCTATAAAAAACTAGGAACTTTTTGTTTCACAAAAAACAAAGTCACAACAAAGCACTTACAAAGAATCCACCACTAACCAATATGTTCAGTACAAGTACAATTACACTAATCGGGAATAACTTGTGCAAATTCACGCATAGAAATTCAGAGAATAACTGCAAAATAGGGAAAATACCTCATACTAGTTCGTCCGACCGGACCGGGAGTCAATGGTGGCAGAGTATCTGGACGGAGACGGTGGAGAATGCGTATTACACGGTGACGGGGAGAGGGCGGAGGAGATGGCTGCAACAACGACGGAATGAACGGATCGGAAGATTCCACTGGGATGATGATGCCCTTGAGATGTTTTTGTTGGCGAGGAAGATTCCACTGGGATGGGTGTGGAAGATTGGCGAGTCTGGTGATTGAAGATTCCACGGGTGAAGCCGACGGAATTGAAGAAGATTGAAGATCCCTTGACGGAATTGGTGGTAGGCAGTGGTTGGCAATAGGGGTGTTCATTTATAGGTCTTGACCGGAAAAACCGACGAACCGGACCGATCGGTCCAGACCGAACCCGGACCGATAGGATTTCGGGTCGGTCTTCGGTCTGAGGTTTTTAGAATTTCGGGTTTCGGTCCGGTCCGGTCATTACCCGATTTCCAATCGGTCCAGACCGAAAAAGACCGATAACCTCCCTTTCTTATTTTTTTATGTTCCGTTCAAAAATCACAGCCCAACCCTATCCGAGACCTAATCGTATCCTGTGTTGCTTGCGGTCTGCCTCAGCCTCACTGCCTCTGCTATTGTTCGACTGCTTCGACACCCTGAGAGAGGAATCGCCGGTTGCAGATTCGCCGATCGCAGTCGTCACTCGTCACTCGTCACTCGTCAGTCGTACTCTTGAGCCCACTGCCCAGCTTCGACTCGGCGACTCCCTCGCCTGAAATACTCAATCGCACGCCGACGCCCTCAATCCCAATTGAATCAGGTACTCATCTCGTCTCCCTCGTCTCCTTCTCTGTAAAGTAGTCTTCCTTTTGCTGTGAAGTCAAATCCTGTTTTACAGGTTTAGGGGAGTTTAGGCCATGGTTATTCCCTTTTATTATTTCTGTGGAAATTGTTGATCTGTACCAAATGAGTGATATTTACAGCTAGTTGATGAAGCGATCAATTGATTGTGCGCAATCACAGTCACAAGAAGTGCCTTCAACGAATGTTTCTCATGACTCTCATGTAGAGACAGTTCAAAATGAAGATACAAGTCTTTCGACAACAGGTGCCTCAAAATCACATATACCACACCCTAACAAAAAACCCAGGCCTGGGCGTCGGTATATTGTGAAAGGACCGAAAAGAAGGGCGGACTACTGGAATGATTATGAGTTGTTCTTAGATGATCAAGATAATGTTCGAGCAGAATGTGTACATTGTGACTCTACTTTT